ACTCCAAACCAAGGGTCAACGGCGAGGTGACGGGACGCTCTGCAGGCCGATCCCAGGGAGTCGGGTCCTCGCCCAGAGGCCTCCCTGAGGACACGGGCGCGCACCAGCCACGATCAGGCCGGCTGGAGGCAGGAGGGACCGTGGCACCTGTGCACCCATGACGCTACCCACCCCCAATCACGGGATAACCCTAAGAACAAAGGCTCAGGCCAGCACCATGGAGCAGCTAAGCACTATGTGGAAGGAGCCAGACCCCACACAGCTGGGGGCCGGCACATGTCTGCACACGCATGTGCCCAGGACCCTGGCAGCAGGAGAGGTGGAAGAAAGGGGACTGCGGCACGACTGGCCCACTGGGGGCGCTTTCTCTCTTGCACACACGCCACCTGTGCCCTTGGACACTGGGAGGGGCCAGACCAATAGACAGGCAGACAGAACCTCAGCCTGGAGTGACACAAGGAGGCTGCAGGAGAGGCTGGCTGCTGGCGGTTCCGGATGGGTGTGGACCCTCCCACTGGTATTTTATGGGCCACTCCCCCCTTCCACCTCGCCTGTCTCCTCTGTGTAGAGTCATGTGATGTAAGCTGCCCATTTTGCCATGGCCTGTCGTCAACAGCACCTCCCCCAGGAAGTCTTCCTGGCTTGCTCCCTTCCCTCAGCTCCCACTGTCATCTCTTATCCAACAATGACACTCCGTTCCAAGAGCACGCATTAAACCCAGGCCTACACGCAGGGTGCCAAAGGCACCTTAGCTCTGACCCTGGACCTGCCACCCAAGACTGCGGCCCAGCAGCAAGACGACAAGCTCTCCGGCAGGCTGCCGAGCCAGGGCCAGCGCCCACACCCTCGCCTGCATGGCGACAACCATGTGGCCTGGCACATGCCTCACCTGCCCACTCCCCTGGTCCCCTACGGCTAGGGACAAGAAGGAGTGACACCACACGCTTCAAGTGCTCGGCGAGGGGCTGGCATCGCCGTGGACACACCAGGTGAACAGTGGCACTACTGCCCTTAGACAGGTGCACAGATGCTGCAAGGCCATGCGGTCACAGGGCAGAGGTCAAAGGTCAGACTGCGTCCACCAGGCCCACCGGGCCTGCCGTCTGCTCCCTGTGACGTCCACCGCGGATCAGTCTTGTGCCGGAGCTCCCTGCCCTCACGCTGCCACTAGCTGTGGTCCCACGCCCAGGAGCAGCGGCAGGCGGTGCTGTGAGGCAGTGCCCAGCAGACCCTGTGCCAGCTGCAGGAGGCACAGCCCTGACCAGCCCGTACTGCACCGGGCCAGGATCACAGCTCTGGGTCCCCAGCATCACCTGCTGCCGCTGGGAGACCGGCCGGTGGGCCATGCAGAGGAGCCAGCTCTGCGAGCCGAGGCACAGAGGCCAAGGCAGAGTGGGCCTGGGGACACCCCACGGAGGGCACCTGGTCCTCGGCCTGGAGGCCAGGGACAGGCCCGGCCCAGCTTCCCGGGTGACTTCCTCCACAGCTGTGGCGACAGCTCTGTGCTCCCACGGCCGATTCTCCCTGGGCCGGGTGTGCAGAGGTCACGGCTGCTGCTTCCCTGCACTGGCAAGGCTGTGACGTGGGCTGGGCCTCAGCGCAGCAGCCTATATGCAGACCCTCAGGACGATGTGCCCCCCGTGTCCCACAGGCAGGGAGCTCAGCTGACCCCGTGGCCAACACCTGAGAAGCCTTCAGGCCAGCCTTTGTGTCCCCCAGCCCTGACCGTGGCCGAAAGAAACAGGCTCGCAGAGGGGACGGCCACACAGTCCACGGTGAGCGGAGTGCTGGGACTGCAGTGGCCTCCTGTGCTGGTGCTGCTGGGGGCCTGGGCCAGAGTCCGTACCCTAAACAGAGTGGCCACCTCCGTCCCAGGCTCGGAGAACCCAGGACAGCGAGAGCCGGGTATGGGCCGGCCGCCTCCCCAGCGCTAGGCAAACCGGCACCTGTGGACTTAAGACTCCCAGCAGCTCCGCCGCGGAGCCCCGGGTGCAGGAGGCCCTCAGCGTGGAGGGCTCGAGAAGCCCGAGGGAATGATGGAGCTCTGGCGAGCCAGGAGCTGTGAGCCCAGCAGTGAAACACCCAGGGCACGGGCAGCTGCCAGTGGCCTCAGGCTGTGACTCCGGCCAGACGTCGTCCCTTCCTCCCAAGTGCCAGGCAGTCTTGGCCAACTGCTCCCGTCTATCCCTTGAGAGCCACGACCTCCTGCACACCCTCCCAGGGCACCTTCCTCTGGCTGATCTCTGGTAAGCTGCCCTGCCCTGCCCTCCCCTTCCCCGTGCTGCTGGTGCACGGGACTCCCTCGAGGGTCTGAGCTGCTCTGAGACCCGAGGACATTCACATCGCCCATCTCTGGGCCTGGCTGAGGCCTCAGGACCCTTCTCTCCCACCCAGGCCGGGCCAGGCGCCTCTGCGGGCCCCAGCACGGGGCTGCAGCGTGGGGCCACCTGCTGCACGTGTGCACTCTGCCACAAGGGACTAAGGAGGAGCCTGGGAAAGGGGAAGTGACACACCCAAGGTCACAGAACTGGGTGAGGAGCCAGGACCAGGACGTGGCTCCAGGGCCCCTCCTCCCACTGCACGCCCACTCTGCAGGGCCTGAAGTCTGCTCTGGCTTCGGTGGAAGCAAGGAGCCCCCACCAACACCCCTGCCCCGTCTGCCCAAGGCCAGGGGGCAGCCAGAAGTCCTGGGGTCTGGGTTCAACTGCCTGTCCCTGGGGCCCTGGAAACACAGGGTGGGGGTCTGCTTAGGCTGGCACACTGGCCCTCGCTCTGGCACGGTGATAAAGCCTCCTCAACCTTCAGTACGCTGGGTGGGGGGTGGGTGATAGGACACAAGATGGCCCCAGGAGGAACCTGATCCCAACCAGCACTGGGGCTGCGGCAGGGGCTGAGGCTGGACTGCGATGGAGGCTGCAGGTGAACAGGTGCACTCAGCCAAAGAGGCTTAGCTCCCAGGGCAGCTAAGCAGGATCAGCGCAGCTTCTCCAGGGCAGGCCAGGTCTGACCCCAGCAGGGTCCCAGCCTTGACCAGGGAGCCACTCGGAAAACACTCAGCGGTTTCCTTCCAAATCGTGACGTTTCTAGGTCTGGGCCTCGTGGGCACCTTCCCGGGCTCGCAGGGACCCCAAGACCTCTTGGGGCGCCGGTGTCCGAGGCAGTTTTTGCCGCCTCCCCCTTCCCCAGGCCCAGTTTCCCATTCCCCAGGACCCAGTCCAGCAAGTCTGAGCGCACATCCGCTCCTGCCCCCCCCCAGTGGTCACATTCCGCCTGACCCCGTAGGTACTAGGGGCTTCATGCACCGGGGTCAGGCCTCGAGTGGGGTGCCAGCGGATATCTGGACATTGATCGCTACCCTGGGTCAGCCGAGAGCCACAGGGCTGACCTTGGCCCAAGCCCTTCCCATAGGGAGACGCGCTTCCCCGCGCACAAGAGCAGATGAATGGGCCTCCCGCCGGCCGCAGGGCGGCAACGGGACACGGGGGTCTTAGAAAGTGGACGGCTCGGGAAAGCCTGG